CCATCCAAACCCACAGACAAAAAGCTATCTGTCAAATGTTAAATGAAGTCGGTCTTGTAGATGTTTGGCGTATGCTCAACCCAGATAATAGAGACTTTACATTTTACTCCAATCCTCACAGGTCTTACTCTAGAATAGTTTTTTTTCCTTGTTCCACAAATCTCTATTGAAAAAGTAGAAAAATGTTATATTGGATCTATTCATATATCGGACCACGCTCCAGTTTTTTTTAGGTATCTGTATATCAAATAGTTATTCAAACAGATATAATTGGAAATGCAGCAGAGCTATTTTATCTGACCCAAACTTTTGTCCTATGACCCAAAGAGAACTCAAATTATTTATCCAGGAGAATGACAATGAATATACAGACCCTTCAAACTTATGGGAAACAACTAAAGCTTTTCTAAACAACAAACGCTCAAAAAAAAATATTACCAGAATTAAGGACAAGAATGGGAAGCTGCTTTATACTAAAAATGAAATGACAAAGGTGTTTAATGATTTTTTTCCCCTCTTTATATAGTTCAAAAACACTAGGCATGGATGATAAGATGAATAACTTTTTTCAACGCATAAAACTCCCTAAGGTCTCTGAAGAAGATAGGAGTAAGTGTGATATGGATATAAGCTGTAAGGAAGTTGAGGAGGCGATAGATACCTTTGCATCGGGGAAGGCCTGTGGACCTGATGGTCTCCCACCAGAGATTTATAAAGCCTTTAAAGAAATCCTTTCTCCCCTATTAACTAGCATGTTTAAATATTCATCATCTATTAAACACTTCCACAATCATTGCAACTGGCCACTATTAAAGTTCTACTAAAGGAAAACAAAAACCCAGATTTTCCTGAGTCCTACAGACCAATAAGTATTCAAAACACAGACTGTAAAATTTTTGCTTAATTACTGTCAGGCTTAATCATATCATACCAAAAATTGTGGGACATGACCAGAAGGCTTTGTTCAAAATAGGAGATCATGTTCAAACATCAGGAGATTATTGGGTATTTTACAGTATGTTAAGTTAATAAAACTCAATGCTTTAGTGGTGACATTAGATGCAGAAAAAACATTTGATAATATAGAGTGGGAATATTTATTCAAAACCTTAAAGAAGTATGCTTTTGGAGATGGATTTATAGAGTGGGTCAAATTGTTATATTCTGCACCACAGCATCAGTCTCCATTATGGGGGAATGTCTTCTCCTTTTGCAATAAGTAAAGGCTCAAAACAAGGATGCCCCTTATCTCCTTTACTTTTTGCATTAGCAATGGAACCTTTGGCTAAGATGATTAGATCCAGCACCTCTGTTACCGGTATCCAAACCAAGAAACAAGTACATACGATTTTGTTGTATGTGGATGATGTTCTTTTATTTTAACTAGTCCCAGCTGTTATCCAGATAATAAATGAGTTCAGGATGTTCTCTGGATATAAAGTCGATTATGGAAAATCCCTAGCCCAGGGTGCCCAACCTTTTTTGAACCAAGATCTACTTTTAAAGTTGCCAGTCTGCAGAGATCTACCAGTCCACATAGTGAGCCGTAGCCTTTACCGACAGCCTCCAAATGCATTTAATACTCACACAACAAACAGAAAATAATTTCAGATATAATAAATGACAGTTCTGTGAGTCGTAAAAAATAATACAATATCGACATACTTTTTTTTAAACTCACATTTTAGGGTACATTTTAATATTACTTGTAGGCTATTTATATCACGTGTTTTTCCCTTAATTTAGTTTACAACAAACAACTTTAATCTGTGTGGAGATGTTCACAGACTACAGCAGGCTGCTGTGAGATGATGTTGCTTTTGTTAAATTAGCTGCAGACACGGTGAGAGTGAACGGAGTAAAGTCGAACCGACCGTTTGACCAGGTCACGTGTGTTCACGCCTCTGTACGGATCACGGATCAACTGTGTGCTGTAGCACTAAAAGTAAAAAGGTTTGCGTGGTGGCTGGCGCTCCAGTGCAAGTGTGTGTGTGTGCATTTGCGCTGTATGTTGGTGTGTCTCGTGCCCCGCGATGCTCACAGTAATGACAGCAGAGAAAGGAGCAGAGAAAAGTAACTGCAGCTACATCAAATGTGCTTAATACTCACAGCATACTTTCTATATATTGATGATGGATTGTACAGGATTGTTGATGGACGGTCTGCCTCCCCCCACCCCCTTGCTCCCTATCCCTCTTCCTGCATCTTATCCCATCTCTCCCCCTATCCCTTTCCAACCCCGGCGCAGTCTAGGCCTGTGAAGGCTGTTGGGATCCGGCCGAAGATTTCTGCCTTTTAATAAGGCAGTTTTTTCTTACCACTGTAACTTTTGCTGCTTTGCTAAAGTGCTCATGATGGATAGGCCGGATCTTTGTAATATAGCAATAAGTAAGGTCTTTTACCTGCTTTTTGTAACATAACAATGAGTAAGGTCTTTTTACCTGCTCTTTTGTAATGTTAACAGACAAAGAGTTAGGTATTTTGCCTGCTTTTTGTAAAGTGTCTTGAGATAACACTTGTTATGAGTTGACGCTATACAAAATAAATTGAATTGAATTGAATTGAATATATATGACTTTTTGGTAAAACATTTACCTGCCCCGGTTTTACCTGCACGTCCTTGCGCGTGCCTGCACTCTCTTGCGCGCGCGCTCTCTCGCTCGCTCTCTCATGCACGCAGCAATTTCATGAATAAATGAAAAATTAAATACAAACAGGTAGTACAGGAAGTATAATTTGGCTCACCACCCAGGTATAGTCTATGTGTGGGAAACACTGCAATGAGATGAAATTGAAATCACGTTTCTATTTTACGATTGTATTTTATATTGACTAAACATCTCGATCGACTAAGAATCAGTCAGCGATCTACCTGTGGATCGCGATCGACTGTTTGGGCACCCCTGCCCTAGCCTTTCGTTAGGAAACTTAATATGTTCTGATTTAGCAAAGTACATACCTTTTCAGTTGTCCTCTAATGGGTTTAGATATTTAGGGATTCAAGTGTCTTGTCATTTTGGTAATTTGTTAAAAATGAATTTAGACCCAGTGGTAAGTGAAATTAGAAAAGATCTTCAAAGATGGAGCCCTTTATCCATATTACTTGGCCGTGTTGCTATTGTAAAGATGAATGTCCTCCCAAGGCTGTTATATCCAATGCAGATGTTACCCAACTATATTCCAGTTAAATTTTAAAAAATCATTACATAGTATGACAACAAAATTTGTGTGGAAAGATAAACGTCCAAGATTTAAATGGGAGAAACTTCAGTTACCAGTGGACAAAGGGGGGTTAGCTCTGTCAAATGTGATGTACTACCACTGGGCTTCATTAATGACATACATTACTAAAAAATGATGCTAATTCTACATTTCTGGATTTATAAAATACTGGATGTGAAACCGCCCTTTACGATATGTCATTCATAAACAATGCAATAAGTCTACAAGGAATGAACGATAATATTATTGTCAGAAACACCTTGAAAACGTGGAATCATGTGAGTTGCATTTTGGGATTGTGACTCAATACTCTATTTTGGCTTCTATTTCATGTAATCCTGATTTTATACAGTCTTGCACAGATAGGGGTTTTAAAACATGGAAGAGTGCTGGTGTTTCACAAATACGAGATCTCTTTTTAGATGGGACTCTAAAATCTTTCTCCCAACTCATGAATGAATTTGATCTTTCTCAAACAGTTTTTTCGTTATCTACAACTTCGGAGTTATATAAAACCCATTCCAGCATATAATACTGTATTGTATATGACTCAGCTGGAAAATACATTATTAAAAGCGTCGTCTTTAAACAAAAAAACTCTACGTTTTTCATATGATCAAATGTTTATCAACATCCCTACTATCAGTAGCAGAGCTTCCTGGGTTGATTTTGGGTACCATCTCGATGATGAGATGTGGAGAGAGATTTTATTAAATGCAAAAAAGATTACATGTTCAAACAAATTCTATGAGACTCAATATAAGATCATCCACAGACTGCACGTGACCCCGGCTATCAGATGTAAATATGACCCTACGTGCTCATCATCATGTCAGAAATGCAAAAGTAGTTGTGGCACTTATGGTCAGCTTATGGTCATGTCTTAAATCACAGAATTCTGGCTCTCGGCCCAAAATGAGACAAGGAAAATATTTGGGCGTTATATTCCTTTAAATCCTCATCATTTTGTTCTTGGACTGGACTTCTGTGACCGTAGGCACCGGTACATTCTTGGAGTTACTTTGTATGCTGCACGCCTCAGTGCTACAGAAATGGTTAGACGAAGATCCTCTCGATATCTCAATGTGGTATGAAAAACTGATGTCCATCTTGCCTTTGCAGAGATTATCTCATGTACTCAGAGGTACTCGTCAGGTTTTTGTAAGGGAATAGTCTCCATTGGCAATATTTCTGAAAGAATGGTTCAGTGTAATGTATATAGGAACATCAAATACAATTGAATAGAATATGAATGATTTTATTTAGCTCTACTGGTTGTGAAAACTGCTGTTTTTAATCTTTGTTAGTTTTTTGTTTTGATGTAATGTGTCTGTATGTTGTTGTTGTGGTTTGTTGTGTATTGTGTTAATTTGTTGGTCCTTGTAATTAAAAATAAATACATTATTTTTTTTTTTTTTAAAGTAGTGAAGCAGAAAAAAGAAGGCCAAAGAGAGAAATGATAACAGAACAACTATACAAACAATTGAAGTGTTTATTTCCATATACCATTTAGGTATACTCACTGAAGGCTATAATACATCTCTATTGTTTCTTCTAACAATATGTTGAGTAAATCCAGAATGGCAGATGACATCTATAGGTGTTGTCATTCAGTTTGTGATCAAAGGCTGCAGCAGTTTTGTGCCCAGTGGCCTCTGCACTCTTAATTAATCCTGTGCATGTTCAGGTGTCATTGAGATTTTCCTATTTTGTATTCTGACTGCAGCTGCAACTTGGATTCCTCTGGATCAGTTTTACCATTGCACAGGATTAGCATTTCTCTCCAGTGTGCATCAACATATGTCTGTTCAGATTTCCCTTAGAACGAAGCCTTTTGCCACACTCAGAGCAGCTGAAGGGTTTCTCACCTGTGTGAACTAACGTGTGAGGTCAGATACTGTTTTCGGGTAAATCTTTTACTGCACTCAGTGCAGCTGAAGGGTTTATCCCCTCTGTGATTTGCCATGTGATATGTCAAACTAGTCTTATGGGTAAATATTTTTTCACACTGAGAGCAGCTGAAGTCTTTCTCCCCAGTGTGAACTTTATTGTGTATCTTCAGAGTCCCCTTTTTTCTAAATCGTTTTCCACATTCAGAGCAGCTGAAGGGTTTCTCTCCAGTGTGAATCATCATGTGTTTTTTCAGTTCTCCCTTAGAACTAAAACTTGTATCACACCCAGAGCAGTTGAAGGCTTTCTCTCCTGTATGAACTAACATGTGTCTGGTCAGACTTCCTCTCTGGGTACAACTTTTACTACAAATAGAGCAACTGAAGGGTTTCTCTCCAGTGTGAACAGACATGTGTGTGGCCAGAGTTCCTCTTCGGGTAAAACTTTTACTGCAAACGGAGCAGCTGAAGGGTTTCTCTCCAGTGTGAATCATCATGTGTTTGGTCAGTTCTCCCTTAGAACTAAACCTTTTACCACACCCAGAGCAGCTGAAGGGTTTCTCTCCTGTGTGAACTAACATGTGTGTGGCCAGACTTTCTCTTTGGTTAAAACTTTTACTGCAAAAAGAGCAGCTGAATGGTTTTTCTCCAGTGTGAATTATCAAGTGTTTGGTCAGTTTTCCCTTAGAACTAAACCTTTTACCACACTCTGAGCAGTTGAAGGGTTTCTCTCCTGTGTGAACAAACATGTGTTGGGTAAGGGCTCCTTTTTGTTGAAATGCTTTACTGCAAACAGAGCAACTGAAGGGTTTCTCATCTGTGTGAAGTAGCATGTGTGTGGTCAGACTTCTTCTTAGGGTAAAACCTTTACTGCAAACAGAGCAACTGAAGGGTTTCTCTCCTGTATGAACTAACATGTGTGTGGTCAGATGCACTTCTCGGTGAAATCTTTTCTCACACTGAGAGCAGCTGAAGGCTTTCTCCCCAGTGTGAACTTTTTTGTGTCTCTTCAAAGTCCCCTTTTCTCTAAATAGTTTTCCACATTGAGAGCAACTAAATGGTTTCTCTCCAGTGTGAACTAACATGTGTGTAGCCAGACTTCCTCTTTGGCTTAAACTTTTACCACACTCAGAGCAGGTGTAGGGTTTCTCTCCAGTGTGACCTAACATGTGTCTGGTCAGAGACCCTTTTTGGCTGAATCTTTTCTCACACTCAGAGCAGCTGAAGGGTTTCTCTTCTGTATGAATCATCATGTGTGTGGTCAGATGCTCTTTTTGGTTAAATCTTTTACCGCACTCAGAGCACCTATGTGGTCTCTTACCATTCTTCAGTTTCTTATTTTTCAAGTTTAATTCTGACAGATCTTCTCTTGTCTCTTGCCAATCATCACTGTCATCAGTATCAGGTTCATCAGAGTCTTCAATCTTGACCTCAATCTCTGGTTGTAAACATCTCTCTGGATCTGAGTACCTCTCTGGTTCTGCTCCTCCACAGTCCTCTCCATCAACTCCTGTTTCCATCTCTTTAGTTTGTCTCTGATGAAGCTGTGAGGACTGAGGTTTCTCTTCATCATCTTCACTCTTCACAGAGACAGGAGTGAAGGGGAACTTGGTGGTATCAGCCTCCTCCAGTCCTTGAAGCTGTTCTTCCTCCTGACTGCTCCACAGTTCCTCATGTTCTTCTTTAATGTGTTGGGGCTTAGTGTCCTCCTGGTCCAGAATGTGGCTCCACTCCTGCTGCTCAGGTGGAAGCTCTTCTTTACTCACTAACAGCTGCTGGACATCTGCAGGACACAGTAAACAAACATTAAAGGTACTTAGACTGATATTTAATATTAATCAGGGCTGTCAAATGATTTCATTTTTAATGGCTGAAGATCAATAGTTACCTGGAATTGATCACATTTTAATCATGTTTGGAATTCACTCATTTTGAATTTAAAAAAAGTTTGTGATGCTCTTATTTTGTAATTTTGTCTTTAGCTTAGGTTACTTTAGTTCCTTTTTGGATACACACCTACCTTTATTTTTGAAAGAAAACAAGGGACTTGTGGTAGACTGAAGATACTATATTAAAGCCAGAATATGTAACTTTTCAGTTTTGGTGCTCTTTGGCGCCAACAGCAAGTCTCTGACTGCAACTGCACTGTCATAAAACTATTACAACTACCACTCTGAAACAACGTGCATTTGTTGACAAGCAGAGGGTGAGGAAGCTGGCACAGACGCCATGAGAAGATAAAGAACCATGTAGACTCGAAACTTTTGCTGAATGCAGTAGTGCTGTAAAGTGGTATGAAACAGTGTGCTTTCAAATGAATTTAGAGAATATCAGCCCCACAGGAACCTCCTCACCTTTCTACCTTGGTTTCTAGGATTTTTCTCTCTCACTTTGAAATGCTTCTACGGCTATGAAATGAGTAGTAACTCTCTGAGCAGAAGCAGTGTCAGTCACAGTGGATGAGATCAATGAAGGAAAGGTGGACATCCTTCACAAGTTGTCTGGCTTTTACCTGGGTGAAAGTTGACTTCCTGTCTTTCACTTGTTGTCCCCTCTGTCAACCGAACCCTCTGACCAGCATAGATCCATCTGATGTTCAGTTAAGTACATGACCTGCTGCAAGTTTAACAAGCCAGGACAGATCGGGACAGATCCAGATTCTTTGAGTCTGGTCCTGACTTATGCAGAGGTTGGCCTGAATTTGGTGTCACAAAGATACAAATGAAAAGCCAGAGGTGGAAAGAGGACTCAAATATTCTACTCAAGTCAAAGTACTGTTACTTTGATGACATTTGACTTAAGTACAAGTCAAAGTACCAGATTAAGAATGGACTTAAGTCAAGGTAAAAAGTAGCTTGTTTCAAATGTTCATGTTGGTCCTTTTTTAACCACAAATATCTCGTGTAGTGCAAAAAGGACCCAAGGATTTAAATCTCAAAGTTGTATAACTAAAGACAAATCTTTGTTCAGGTGATCAATTAAACAGGTTGTGACTGAAAAAGTAAAAATTTATATTGCATACAAAACAGAAAAGCTAAAAACTATTTTTATAAGTCACTGTGTTCCCCTGATACGTCTGCTTCACAATAAAAGCACCTCAAAGAGATGACAATAGAGGGCCTTTATTGTGAAGTGAAATGTGTTTAGCGGAGCTGCACTTAGTGATTTAAGATTTAAGATTAAGATTAAGATTAAGATTTTGCTTTTATTGATCCCCCGCAATGGGAAATTTCAGTTTTTAACACTCTGTAAGTCATGAACACACACACAGGCTGAAATATACACACAGATGCACAAACAGGATCCTATGAACATGCATTAATGGAGAGAAGCCAGAGTGACGGAGCGGCCCACAGCACTGGGACTTTAACCGGCGACCCTCCGGTTCCCAACCCAAGTCCCTACAGACTGAGCTACTGCCGCCCCTGTGCTACTGCCGCTGCCATGGTGAGTGTTGATAATGCTGTCGGGAGAAACAGCATTCACAGCCGCTCCCCTGACTGCTGTCAAGTGAGCCATAGATAGATAGATGGATAGATAGATGTAACACAGTGGCCCTGAAGGTGAACTGTCTAAATATTTCATAATTGCGAAAAATATTTTAAAAAATAAACATTTTTCAGGGACTGGTAAATATATTTCACCTGCTGCAATTTAATTTATCCCTTCACGAGCTTTATGTAACTTTCAAAAATACTGCGTAGTGACACCACAGGCCGTTAGGCAAACTGCACCAGTAACTTGTTGCTCGCTCGCGTCCTTGTCATATGTGCTCGTACGTACACAAACGAGCATCAATATTGTCTCCAAATACTGGATGTTCAGTGGCATGATGTTTACAGAGGAGGTAAGTGGTCATACACATGTGAAAGTCTGTGTTGTGTTTGAGGCCGGTCGTTTATTTGTACTAACAAATTCCATATTAGATTCATAGTCTCGACTGTTGATCGCTGTAAAGGCCCTGACACACCAAGAGACCGCCGGCCGTCCAGCTCCATCGCTACCCCACCGCCCAGTCGGCCTTTTTTTGGCCGTGAGCCAGTGCAGTTGGGGGTAGGAATCGCTCTGATTAGCTGTTCAGAAAGCAAAACAGGAGAGCCAGTGCACGAGAAGAAATACGGAAGAACCTCTTCTATTCTTGTTTAATAAAAGACAGAGGGCTGCCAACGCCATTTTCACCTTTTTATCAGACATTATTCTCCATGAGAAGTTCCTATATTACGACTGTTGAGCAACAGCGGTAAGAAAATTGTCTTCTTGTATCAAAACAAAAAAATGTTCTATCCGCGTTCTTCCTCGTCCTCTTCCGGTTTCCCCTTTTTGGAATGACGATTACAGACTACCGCCCCCTGCTGGAGTGGAGAGTGGTGGTTGGCCAGTGGCTGTAGTCTTTGTGGCATGTTCTAGTGCAACTTTTTGGCCAAGACGTGAGGCGGCGCCACAGGCGACCTTCGGCACCACTAGTTCTCTGAAGTCTGCTTGGTGTGTCAGCGCCCTAAGTGGAGCGGAGTGAGGAGGACGATGAGAACGCGCCATTTCCTGGAGCACGCCATTTCCTGGAGCTTTGGCGGAAAAACCGACCCAGGTAAAAAATGTTATAAAGGACACAGATAGACAGTGAACATCCACTTTTCAGTCAGTTAACTATTCACTTATTAATGGACGATAAAAAACATGTAAAAAGTTACAGAACCTTTAATTTACAAGTGAAATCTCCTGAGTGAGTGTACACTGACAGGATCAGAATGTTAAGAAAGGAAGGTCCATACAGTGAAATATGTTTAGGAATAATATGAAGGTCGTTGGGATATGGTTCAAGCCCAGAGCCATAGGATCATTAAATTATTATAAATGATGTGCAGACGTTTCATCCTGTTAATTGAAGTATCGCTGTGTGAAGGTCTTCTTCACTTTAAAGATTAGAGAAACTCTAAAGGTTTGTGTGCAGTAATAGAGCTGCAGATATTTATATTATGGTTATTTCACTGTATGGACCTCGGGTGGTACGTTTGGATGTAGAAAACACATTTACTTTCCTAACATTAGATTCTGATCCTGTCAGTGTACAGTCACTCAGGAGATTTCACTTATATTCAGTTACAGCGCTGGCGTCCTGCCGACGTGAGCACCGCGTCTACCTTTATGTGGAGACGCAATGATCGGATCTGATCAGATGAGACCGCTGCAGGTGTCTGATAACTAAAAGAACATTCCACGTTTCTTAACAAGACGGCACGTAAACGCTCATGGATGACCTTTACGCCAAACTATCAACAACTAAGCAGAAGAGTTCTACATGCTCCAGGTCCTGGACTGGACTTCTACACAATTCTGGCTGCACGACAAGTTTCCAGTTATTAGGAAAATTGACTTTCAGGCATCCTGTCTTCACAAACACAAACGCGCCTGTCAGCGGTCAACACACAAAGCTGAAAATGTTTGTATGTTTCTTTTGAAATGTTTTTGTGTTCAATTAAATATTTTTGCATTTAGTGAACTGTTTTTCACAATTATTAAATATTTAAACAGTTGACCTTCAGGGCCACCGTGATATCTTCATAGGTTACTGAAATTATTTGCAAACCTATCAAGACATCGCTTTTATTTACAATTTAATACAGGGAAATCACATTACATTATATCTATCTATCAATCAATCTAGTCTGTTGCCAGGCTTTTATTTTTAATACAGGTAAAATCACATTCTATCTACTCATCCGTCTATATATCGCCGGGCTTTTATTTTGAAGGGTTTACTTTCAGTCCAGTGTCACATGCGTCCACAGACTCTCTTCTTGTTTACCGTAAAGGCGCTGATAAATACGCAGCAAAAATCAAACACGGGCTGACTCGACAGCAGTGAGTTCCAGGACTCTTTCCATGAACTCTGCATTGTTCACATTTTAAAGTTGACACTTATCGGCTTGTGGTCTGAAGCTGGACTTTGTAGTCCTTTATTTGTGCCGCATTGAACTAAACTGCTTTATCTATGTTAGCTAGCATAAGTGAGTGTTGCTGTATCTGTGTACCTAGCGTGTCCACTTTTCCAGTTAGCTGTTTTATTGCGTTCAGGACTTCGTTCATTCCTTCCCTACCTTCCTCTGAGCCAGTGTCCTTCTTTTTAGTTGCTGGTGGGTTCTTCGCTGCTGAGAAAGGGTCTTTTCTTCTGTAGCTCTCGGTAGAGACCTCCATCTTAACATCATCGTGATCGTCAATCTCCGAGCTACTGCGGGCTGAAGAGAGCTTCTTTTCCGTCGTCATGCTGCAGTTTCCGGAGCACTTTATGGTTAAAGCGTCGGTATGGTGTATTAGAGATTCATACGATCACATAGAATTGAGTTGGAAGGTAAAGTATTTGTAAAAGTGGGACAAGCAGACGGAGCTCAGAAAACATGCTGCACCCGGTCCTCCATCTTGCCGGAAGTCTTCTTCTCTGGGATTTTTTGATCACAAACAGCTTAAGGTGCATACCGCCACCTACTGTTCAAGAGTGTGTAACATCATGTCACTTCCCTACTCTACACTTTAAATTCTTCCTGTCACCCTTGTGTAATATAAGAATGAATAAAGAGCCCTCCTGACAGCTCTTATCTCATCTCCTTCTCCCTCTGTGTCCAGTATTCCTCTCATATTCCATTCACGCTCTGTAGCTCTGATTTTCTCTTTCAATCTCTCTCTCTCATTTACATACTTATTACAATGTAATAATATATGTTCTACGTTTTCCTGTGTTCTGCATCTTTGAGTACACTGCTAAATGATCTGCTTTTCTTTCCTTAACATACATTTCATTCAGGAATGACAAAAGCAAATCCAATATGTCCTTTCTTAGAAACTTTTTAACCATATGTACAGATAGGGATAAAAGGTTTACGTGTATATTTCAATCTGTGTTCCACTAAATCTGCCCAGTTTCCTTTTTCACTCTGCATTTTGTTTTGACTATAAAGATCTAAGGTCACAGGAGGAAACAACCAGACTTGTGCCACTGGATAATGTTCTGTAGCTCTCTATGTTTTCTCATGTATTCCCATTTGTGTTTCCATCTTCCTTGCTTCCCATACATAACATTCTGCTTTTTGCTTTTCCACTTTCCCATCACGGAGGGCTTTCACTGTTTGATGGTATTCCTCTTTTTGACCTTGGAGATTTACCCGGTAGTTCATCATTAGTTGTTTAAATCTGAAGTCCAGCGGGACCTCTCCCATCTCAACCTGGGCTGCTGTAACTGGAGAAGTCCTTAGAACCCCACAACATAATCTTACGGCCAGATTTTGTATAACCTGTATTTTCTTAAATTGTGTTTTGGCTGCTCCCCTATGTACTAAACTTCCATATTCTATAACACTTCTTATCAAAGCAACATAAATGTTCTTCAAAGCACTTCTACTTGCTCCCCAGTCAGACATCTCATTACATTAACAACCATCTTGTTTATATGATCACTCCATGTCAATTTTGAATCAAATAAAACCTCTAGAAACCAAAAAGTGTTGACTTGTTTTTTCTAAACATTTAAATATCAGCCTCTCTTATTTTCTTTCTTGTAAATGTAACTACTTTTGTCTTCTCCACAGAAAACTTGAACCCACATATGAGTAATATCATTTCTCCACTGCCCTTACTGCATTTTGTATATTATTTTGAACTAATGTTATTTTTTCCCCTCTTTTCCTCAATGCCCCATCACCAGCAAATAGCAATTGTCCAATATCAGAATCCATTCCAGAAAACACATCATTAATCATTATTGAGAAGAGTAGTGGGCTAATAATGCTTCCCTGAGGAGTTCCGTTATCTACCTCATATCTAGTTCATATAGCCGCCCCCATCTTGACTTGAATATCTATCAAATAAAAAATCTTTAATCCAATTTAAACTTTTACCTGTTATTCCCATTTTTTGCAGTTTAATCATTAATCCCCTCTTTCCAAATCACGTCATAGGCTTTTTTAAAATTATTCTTTTAAAGATTTATTTTTGGGCATTTTTGTGCCTTTATTTGAGAGATAGGACAGTGGATAGAGTTGGAAATCAGGGAGAGAGAGAGAGTAGGGAACTGAGCTTTCCTTATTTCTGTCTCTAAAAATAACAACTGGACCCATTGTTCCCCTCCCTTTCCTAACTCTGATATGATGAAAGTAATCCTCTGGTTTCTATGAAATATGTCGTTCATTCTGTGATCATCCTTTTCATCATTTTCCGACATGTAAAGTGAGTGTAATAGGTCTGTAACTTGTGGTGTTTGTAGGGTCCTTTCCTGGTTTTATTGTAGGTACAATGATTGCTTCTTTCTTAGGTAATCTGCCTCCCATACTCTATTATATACTCCTAAAAGTTTGATTTCTATCTGACTTCCCAAATGTTTTAACACGATGTAACGAATGTGATCTTTTCCTGGAGATGTTAGCCCTGCTTTAGTTATTGCTCTTCTCATTTCTTCAATTGAAAAAGGGGAATCCATCACACCTGATCCTTCTTGTCTGTTTCAAATCCCAACATATGCTTCTTTAGTTCTTTCCCTCCCTTGTTTCCCTTCCTCTGTTACATTATTTGAGCTATGAATTTCAGTAAAAGTTTTAGCCATTATTTCTGCTTTATCCTAATTTGATACTGCTGTTTCTTCTCCCTTTTTTATTACTGGGTAAATTATATATTTTCTTATACCCCTCATCTTTCTAATCATACCCATACATCATTTATTGGACTTTATCTGCTGATTGACCTACAAAAATCCCTCCATCTTCTTTTCTTTGCTTCTTTAATAACTTTCCTATCTTGTGCCTGTGATCTTATTCTGTTAATTTCTGAAAATGATAAGTTCTTTTTAGAGCTTTAAATGCTATAACTTTCTTTAATGGTTTTACTACAGTCTTCTGTCCACCATGGGACTGCTTTCTTATTTCCCTTCACTTCTAGGAATGGTTAAATTTGTTGCTTTTGAAATCACTTCTCTAAACTTTTTGCCAACCTCTTCTCAATCTCGAGTGATGTCTATTTCCCCACTTCCCCTCTCACATACTGAAATTGATCTCATTTAGCTTTACCCACTGTTCCTCTCTTTCCTCCTCATTTACCTCTCTATCCACATATATATTACAAAATATTGGAAAATGGTCCCTTCCAACTGTTGTTTCTTCCCATATTACCCACTCACATATTCCTGCCAATTCTCTTGAAACCAGCATCAAATCTGCTGCTGAACTGTTTCCTGTATGAATATTTATTTGTGTTCTTCTGCCATCATTTATACACACCAAGTGACTGTCTTCCTAAGGTTGTTCTATTATTTAGTATCCGTCTTTTCCCTCCCCACAATGTGCTGTGTGAGTTCAAATCTCCACTCCAGACCATATGGTTTTTAGTCTGTCCCTGTATTTGCTTTCATTTGTTAAGATCCAGTTTTATTATAATAATTGATGATAGTAATCTGTCCTACATCTGTCCACATTTCTATGAGTATGAATTCTCCCTCCCTCCCTTTACTAACCGCTCTGAATGAAATATTTCCTTTAATAAACGTAGCACATCCTCCTCCCCACTATCACACCTAAAAGCAGTTTAATTGTTAATTCATATTTTTTATTTTATTTTGAAATTCCACACAAGATGGTCTTGATATTTGGTAAATAACATTGTGATGGTTATTGTTTATTGTTTATTTGGATCTCCATTAGCCACTACCTAAGTAGCGACTACTCTTCCTGTGGTCCACTCATACAAACATGAATTTAAAATCCACACAAATTAAATTATAAAAAGTCCAAGACGGAACAGAAAAAGTCAAAAATAGAAATAAATGACAGCACAATAACAGGCAAAGTACAAATCAAGAACACCAAGATGACCCTATTGCAAGTCAAAAAGGTAATCTCTCAAATGTTCACGTTGAAATATTTCTAAAACAGAAAGCAGAGAAATCATCGTCCTTTCTTTCACCAACAACCAACCTAAAATTAAGTTCATTTTAGTGATATTAGCTAGTCTGTCACAGTTCAGCGCCAGTCTCTGTTCTGGACTAGCTGTAATTTATCCAAGTCTTTATTTGATTCACTTCACCACACTACTGGACAATAGTATAAGTGAGTTAGGACTAATATTTGTATAACACGAGAGATACAATGCTGTGGTAAAAACTTTGTGCATCTCCTTATAACTGCTGACCTCTCCCCATAACTCTAAACAGTTTTCTCAATCTGCTTAGACCACTTCAGTCTGCTGTCTAATATCAAACCAAGGAGTTTAACTTCTACTTGTTCCACAGGCACTCCTTTTACAGATACGTGTAACTGTGGGATATCTTTTAGTCTAAAATTAGTTTGTTTTGATAAATTAAGAATTAACTTGTTACCCCATGCCCCGTTTACGACAGCCTGTAGCTCCTGATCCAAAGTACTCGATAATTGCCCAATTGATGCTGCTGTTAAGTAAAGTGTTGTATCGTCTGCATACATCACTGCTCGGGCTTGATTTAGAACAAGAAGAAGGTCATTGGTAAAAATTGAGAAGAATAAAGGTCCCAAACAACGCCCTTGTGGTACACCACATTGTACAGCTTTCACATTTGAAAAACTACCATTATGAAATACAAATTGTTTCCTATTGGACAAATAACTCTCAAACCAACTTAATGTGTAAGGTGGAAATTTGTAGCATTTTAGTTTATGTAACAACAGTTCATGATCCAAGACATCAAAAGCCAAACTAAAATCAAGAAGCACTGCTCCCACTAAATTATTACTATCGATATAAGTAAGGCAGTCATCAGTCATCTGCGTCAATGCTGTTCCTGTGGAGTGTCCTTCTTGGTAAGCATGTTGGAAATCAGTAGTTAGCCTATTTTCTTTAAAGAAACACTGTATTTGGTCACAAACAATCTTTTCCAGCAGTTTACTAAGAATTGGAAGCAGACTAATTGGTCTATAGTTTTTACCACTGAATTCTTCTGCTTTTTGTTTTGCCTCTTTCCATGCTAAGGGAAAAATACTTTTTCCTATGCTGTTGGTTAAAGATGTGGCAAACTGGTCCCGCTATACACCCAGCAGCCAATTTTAAAAGCTTTCCATCTAGATTATCCCTTCCTCCTGGTTTTCTTCATATTTATAGATGATAATTGTTGTTCCACTTGTTTTATATTTACTGTATTTAATTCAAATTTAAGGGAGTGGTTACCTTTAACGAGCTGTGTAGTTCTTCACTCATGCAATGGAGATAAATTAATGGATGACATTTCATCTCTCAATTTTTCTACTTTGTTTATAAAGAAATTATTTAGATAATCAGCAATTTCATGCGGTTTAGTGAGAAATGAGTCACCTGCATCAATAAAATAAATAGGATTTGGCTAGGATTTCTTCCCATTATTTCATTAAGTGTGCCCCACAGTTTGTTTCAATCAAATTTACACTAATTT